TTCTCGAGCTGTGGAAGAAGAGGAGGATCTCGACGAAAGTGAGCAAAATTTGCAGAGAATAGGAGGAAAAGAGGTAAAATACGGGTAATATTAAAACGTGACATAAACAGAAACTAAGATGGACACAGAGGCAACACGTCAGGCTTTACAATTCACATTTGTACGATAGAAGGAAATGTATGGGATAAATCATGTGCCAGCAGGAATTGAATTTGAATAACTCAGACTGAATCTGTATGTGCATAATTTCAAACTGAATGCATTGATTTGAAAATAAATTTCACTAAATTGAAACTGAATTTAATGATTTGAAACTGAATTTAAAGTTTTGTATCTAAATTAATTTGTTTTGAAACTGTATTTTGGTCTATTAAAAATTCAATTTGACCACTTTCACTTTCAGTTCCATAATTCAGATTTTTGTGTCACATCCTGGTCCTTGAGAAAACCAGTCAGAGTAATCAAACACAGATCCACAGATTTACGTTTCACTTTGCTGAAGTTTCCCTTCTATATGTAACAGAGTTGATGCAATCCACTGTAAAAGTGACAAAAACAAAGTTATTTTATTGCAGTGATTAATTTTAGCTATATGTAGAAAAYGTTACATTTACATCACATCACGGATCACATATTGATCAGATGCTGCTGCTGACTGAGATTCAATCTGAGCAATTCAAATTCAATTCCTGCTGGCACAAGATTTATCCCATAGGATTTACTCGGGTTGCACCCCAATAAAAACAAACAATAAAAGATAGGAATAACTCAAAAACAGACAAAAAAAAGAGGTAAGATCGGTGCAGGTTTATCGTCAACAAGATGGCAGCATCATCAGTTGAAAACTCCTGTTTTTCATATTGCAGGGTTAGAAAAAAACCCGCAAAGTCAGTTTTTTTCCAACATCGTGCAGCCCTAATTTCACTTTATATATATTTTCCACTTTATGGTAAACTGAGCTCTCTGATACTCGTGTTTGAGCCTTCTCCTCTGCACCCCCTGAGGTAACTTGACACAGTTTTATAATTTAGCCCGGAGAAGATGAACGGCTTTTACAGCATCCAAATTTGTCTGAATCCAAAAAGGTCAGAATCCGTTTTTAAACTCATTAACATTTCACACATGTGCAGCGTTGCTTCTGATGTGTCCACAGTGGTGGTATTTATCCTAATAAAGGTGGATTTAATATGTTTCTGCATCCAGCCTGTAAACAGCAGGATGACTTTACTCAGCAGCTGTGTCTGAGTGTGCAAACGTTCACGTGTGTGTTTGTGCCTGTAAGTAAGTAAGTAAGACGCCCTGGAGGCCTTATTCACCTGCCAGAGTGATGTAAATTACTTAGCTCTGCTGTTTTGAAACAAATCACAATCAAGTCTCCGAGCAGCAATTCTGGCAGAAATAAAAGTCTGCTTCAAACTGAGCAAACCTTCATATGAGGAACATTAGAAATCTGGCTGGCTTAGAAAGAAGGAAAAAAAGAAGCAGAATTCCCTTCAGCTATGAAAATAAACCTTTAGCTTAAATGTGACTCACAGAGGAATGGCATCATTGAGCCAAGCGAATGAGCAACAGCAGCCACAGGATGTTGGCGTTGCTATTCATAACTGCTTTTTTTTTCTTTGTTTTTTTCCTTATGCCTAAAACCGTTTTCCCTTCTGGTCTCACCTCTGCTGCTCTCTTAAAATGCAATTACCTCCTGGCAAATTTACAGGAAAAGAAAAACAATGACTTTTGACCAGAGGAGCCATTATAGCAAATGTCACACAGATTCTGTAACAAGAGCCTGCTGAGATACCAAGCAGAGGAAAAGATACAGATAGATGAATCACATAATTATTTTGTTTTAGATCTGGCTTTAACACACAAAAAAAAAGGAAAAGAAAGAAAATAGGAGAGGTATGGAAGGCACGAGGAATTGCAGATAAAACATGTTCCAGCAATTTCGCAACTCTTCACTGGAACCACAAAATCCTTTTCAAAGGTGTGACTGATAAGTATTTCAACAGCAGTTACTGCGAACCGTAAACAGAAAGTCAAAGATAATCAGAATTTCAACTGAAAACCAAAACATGAACTGGACTAAATGTTTTCAGGTTTTAATTATCAGGAAACACAAAAGATCAAAAGCGTGTTAGGGCTTAATTTATTTTACAAATGGGACAAATAGAATTCATTAAATGGTGTAAGAGCTGAACACACAAATCCATCCTCACCACTAAGATCCATGCAGAATGTAGCACAGAGCTGCTGTATGAATTTAAATAACGCAGTCATAAACCTGAGGATTTTATTAAAAACTAACCCAGAGCCAGGACAGAATGGTACAGACAGTATTTTCTCTTTTAAAGTGACAATGAAACATCTTTAATTATTTGGCTTATTTTCAAATTTCAAGACAAATTTCCTAAAAAGATAAACTGTTTCCCTCTTGACCTAAAAAACTAGTTTACCTTTTCAATAAAAACTACAATACTGGCAAATAGAAGGGTCAAAATGAATAAAGCTGAAATAGTTTCATTCCTTGCTAAATCCCAGTGCCTACATTTCCCACAATGCACTTGATCACGTTGGCTGTGATACAAGCAGCTATTCATGTACTGTAATCTCACTTCCTGATGATTTTTATCAGATTTAACACTTGTACTTTACACGATTGTTAACTTTTTTATATATTCCACCTCAAGCTGTMGCTTTATTACGTTTTACATTTTATTTTCACAACTTACTCACGCTCACGCCCAGCCTGAATGATTTATTGATTAGAGTCATTTACAGCTCCTTGTTCAAGTCATTTTAGACTTCCAGCTTCACACATGATATTGTCTTTTAGCTCTGTGTCAGATGTTTATTACTGTTTTTTATACCTTTTACTATTATGAGTGCTATTGTCAAAAAAAGAGCTGATGATTAGAAAAGAATATCGATAACGATCTAACATGTTTACAGTAGTTTCACCACAGCAACCTTAGCCACAGCTAAGGCAGCTTTGCTTTGAGATTAAAAAAAGAAAAACAACTACAAAGACTCGATGAGCTCAGTTTTTCCCACCCTTACACCCCCACATGTGCATTTATTAAATTTGAACGTGTAACCACAGTGACTCAAGTGATGCAATTATTTAGAGCACTTCCTTCACAGAAAACTAGACTGGCAGAAAAGTACCCAGTCAGAAATAAATTAGGTGGTTTTAAGAGTTATTTAGAAACCAACCTTTGGAGTTTTAACTTTAATTACGTTTTTGGATGTTTAAATTCTTAAACCAAACATATATTTTTCMCTTAAAGCAGACTTAAACATCTGTGTAACCATGTGTCGGAGTTTGAGATGATATATTAAGAATGTTAGCAGATCAGGAAGAAAAAATAACAATTTGGATGTTTCAAAAGGCAACCCTTCAAACACTGTAAACAACTTCTGTAACAGCTGTGACAGAAGTTGTCACGGGTAAAGAAAGAAAAAAAAAACATTTCCCCCGCAGCCAAAACTCACCGAACTCGTCACAGATGCTCTCATTCTGCAGCAGGGTGGGGTGCTCGAAGGTGTCACGGCAGTACAGGATCCTCGAGCTGCCACCCAACGCAGCGATGCCGCCCAGCGCCAGCACCGTGTGGTCGATGAGCAGCGAGGACGGCTGCTCCCGGAGCCGGGCCAGAACCGAGCGGTAGCGGCAGTACTGCGGGTAACTGAGGACCAAAACCTTCCGTCCGTCCTCCTCTTGGCCTGAAACACACACACACACACACACACACACACACACAAAAAATTAGGCAATCAGGAAGAAATTTCAATTTATTGAATTGGGAAGGTGTGAGGGGAAACAAGAAACATGTTTTGTTTTTGTTTTTTTTTTTCACCCCAAGTGCTCCTGTAAGATTTGTAGAGATGGACACTTAATTTTACAGGACACATTTATTCCTCCATCTCTCTCCAGGTTTTATGACTTCAGCCTCTCTTACAGATCATTATTTGGCTACTGATACTTACCAGCACATCTACTACCAATGTGCTGCCAATACGAGCTGCTATGAATATAACAATTGTGACTTTTAGTCAGTTCTGGCAGATTTATGATCAATCTGAGAAAAGAAAACCCCTTTCAGTTTTTCCTTCAGGGCTCTGCGTGTTCGCTGTTTTGATCTACAACCGGCACCAGTTAGATTTCTGCCTCTGCTATAAAAACCATCATTAATCTGTTTTAGTATCTTGTTTTTTTTAATGTACCTATTTGGAAGAAATGCATCACATTAAGGAAGTGAGACGCTCTCACACTGCTGTTTCATTGCAACTTTAAATAGTTTCACATCCTTTCCTTGTAGCAATAATACATCAACTGACAGGACACTCTTTTATACATGCTGTAAAAAATGTATTACGTTGTTAAGCTGTGTGTTTGAAATGCATGACCTGCGTTGCTCTCTCGGTGACAGCAGGAATGTGAAAACGGCTCAGAGAGAGATGGTATTTTGCTTGACTAGCTTTGGAATGGGCTAACTCACGGTGGGAAATTGTCAGAGCAGTTGAGACGAGGCAGATGGGAATGGGTGGGTGCAAACACGCTTACAGATGCAAAATTTTAAAAAATATATACCTTCACTATTCATCTTGCTTTGTTGTCAACGCAGTTTTGTTTCAGTTGTAGTGAAATCGTGCCTCTGTTATATTTTACTCCGCTGACGGTGTGTTTATTTGACTCATAAATTTTCACGTGAAACAACTTGTTGGCAAAGAAACGTTTGTCTTTGTTTGGAGAAAGTCAGGACAGGAAGTACACACTGAACCAATACGATAAACTCTCGTAAAAGCAAAGAGAATGAGCTGATAGACAATCAAACTGTTAACGTTACACTAACAGCATGTCACAAGGACAGAACTAAATTTGGCTAACTGGTTCTGAAATGTCCTAAAAAGGCCAAATCTAAAGAGCAGCTGAAGCTGACGGGGCTTTTTTCCCCCCCTGAATTCAATTTTCCAGTWATTTGGTCATGAGACATAAAGATGAAGGTTTTTTCCAATTTATTCTGAGAAGAGTAATCGTATGTGTAACATTTGTGAGCACTCCATCAAATACTTGTTTAGATATTTAGGCTTGGAGCCACAGTGGTGGTCCGCCTTCCCTGTGTAATAAAAATACCACGAAGCTGAAGGTTTTCTGCTGAGAGTTTATTAGTCCAGAGTAAAATAAATAAGATAAAAACGATCTGAATACATGGCAGGGGTGACGGAGAGATACCACACGTTGCTACAAAACACTTAAGTCACCACAATCTGTCAGAAACACATAAAATTTTTTTTAGTTTTACGTGTTTGTGACCTTTTCTCWACATAACAGAAAATTGGATTTTTAGGTTAAAGGTCAAAACAAATCACCTACGATGCAGATATACTGTTTAAAAATATTTACATGCAAATAAATATTTCTATCCATCAAGAAATATTTAAGTGATGCATGTTCGGTTTACAAACGTGAAAAAGTCATCCTGAAAATGTGTAATAAGGAGTGTTTATGTTGGAAAACCTTGCCTGGTCCGATAAAAACAGAACTAAATCTTAAAAAATAAAAAATGAAAAATAATAAAAAATAATTTAAAAAATGATCCAACTTCACAAGAAACATAACTGGATCATAAATATGCACAAACAGTTGGGATTTTTCATGAACCAATGAGCCAAAAAAATATGTCAATAAAAGCTTAAATAATAGAAACTAAATGTGCAAATGGCAGCAGACATGTTTGAAAAATCAAATCCAGAGTGAAATATGTACCAGACAATAGCCAACAATTATTTGGGTGTAGTTTGGGGCATGCCTTGTGCCTCTAATCTTCTCCATTTGCACTCTAAAAATGAAATGTTGGATTTACTTAACCATGTTATGTTACCTGGTTCCACTTAACTGAGTTGAGTAAATTCAAAGCAACATACTCATGTTCTTTGGCTAAAAAACTGGTATATTGCTTTGAATTTACTCAACTCAGTTAAGTGCAACCAGGTAACATAACATGGTTAAGTAAATCCAACATTTCATTTTTTACAGTGTGTGCTGTTTAGCTGCAACTCAAACACAATCATTTAGCACTACTTGGACTACAAGCAGACTAAAAATGGAAACAAGGGTAGCTTCTCGATCCAAACCGTTGTCCTTTATCTGCAAACTGCCGATAGCTGTGGTATGTGTTTAAGCATTCTGTCCCTAAATATTTCTCATCTGGAGAGTGTTGCATCAAATTCACATTTTTAATACGTGTTCAATTTGAAAGTGGTGATATTTTGTTAGCCTACAAAGCCGACTACATGGTTCAACAGTTGATGAAGCAGAGTCAAGCAGTCTGAAACACAATTTTACATGAATTATTCACCATCCTGTCTGCTTTTACAAAGCTCTTGGACATGACATTCATAAGTATTTCTCCTGGTAAGTTAATATTTCAAGGAGTGGCTAACCATCAAGTCTTTGCTTTTACTTGGAATGTTGGGCCATTTAAAATTTAAAAATAGATATTTTTTTTTGCCTCCACTCCTATTTTTTGGTTGTTTTTTCACAAGGCTGGAGGCTCAAAAAATCCACTGAAATGTGCAGCAGGAGGGACAGGAGGGATGCCATTCATAGCATATTTACAGCAGCTGCATTCCCAACAATTAGTGTAATTAGTTCCACTGTGCTCCGATACGAAAAAAAACACTTCAAAAGAATGATTAAAACCATTCAACCAGCGCACAAACGCGCACACACAAACACACGCAAAATGCGCAGACACCTTAAGCCACAAAGCCCATAGATGCATCGCCGCACGTTTCCTTACAATCACCCATCTCGCACTGCAGAGACACATTTATCCAAGATTGCGGCATTTGTCATACGCAATTACAGCTCAGAGGTATGAAGCAGGCTTTGTTTCCAAATGTCACGGATTTTATTGTGAGCGGTCACCGTCAGACCTGCTCTTTCTCCCGAGGACCCTCACAGCATTTCACTTGATTAGATTCAATTTGGAGAGAGCGCCGTAGGGCATTAATAACTGTACAAAGGCGTTGTAAAGTATGCACGTCGGTGTGTGTGTGTGTGTGTCAGTGTATGTACACTTGAAAAATTCCTTTTGTTCTTCCAGCCCAACCTTTCAAAATAAAAGAGGTCCTTATCTGAGAATAAGCCTTCCAATCGGAGTCGTGGCTGTCTCATCGAAGAGCGCTACAAAATCTGTTTCCCCCACTCAAGAGACCACCACTGGAAAGGTGAAGGGTGATAATGCTGTTGACTGTGTGTGTCTGTCTGTTTCCAGAATATTACATGAAATATTAAAAAAAAAAATAATCAAACTCTCAGAAAGTAATCATTAGATTCATAAACAAATAAATCAAAGATGGCTGCCACAGCCAATTTATACTAGACAAGACAAAAATGACTATAACTGTCAATTTTACAGATATTAGGCTAAAATTCAAGTAGGGGTTTCTGCAGTACATGGAGGAAGTGTCTTGGTGTTTGTCCTAGGCGCGATTAGCAGAGTTTGAAATACAGGTAGAGGTTATTGGGGAGCGGAGTTTAAGAAAACCGTGACTGATCGGATTGACTTGTTTTGTGGAGCAAGTTAAAAGAGGAAGTAATGGTAATAGTCAAATTATTATGAACATGTAAATATAATTCATTGACTATTATAGCTTAAAATATAACTTCTCAAATAAAAACTACTGTGAACATGCAAACATAATTTCTGACTTCTAATTTGGTGCAGCTAGCAACTTCCTGTTATGACTAAAATTTAATTTCAGATTAAAAACACTTCCCCTAACTGCCCAGCAATCATCCAATCCAACCTTACAGACTGCAGAGACCACTTTCTCCTAAAATCTGATGAGGTAGTAGCTGAGAGTCATTCAAAACAACACACTAATTGGAGTGACAAATTTGCATTATTGTCAACAGGAGATGACAAAATCCCTGCCTTTAAAAGTTAAAGGGTGAGATGCATTTCTCCAAGGAACGCAGAGCCTTTAATTTTATTGTTCTTCTCTTTGTCTTGTTAAGCGGCGGTGTCGCGTGTTGATCAAACTGCTGTAGTGTGGCAGATTATTTTCAGAACAGGCTGTAAAGCTCCTGACCTCGTAAAACACAACAGCGTCAGGGTCATAACTGCTCTACAGGACAGCTGACGTGAGAGCCGTTCAGTCGGCGCAGTGCTCAATAAACGCTAACACACTGCAGCTCACTGTAAACTGAGAAAGAATAGCAACCGCTGAACACAACACATGCGCCGATTAAATGCATTGCACCTAATGAGTCACTTCTGCTATTTTACCCTTCAAAATAACTCGCTGTACTGTTCCTGTCAAAATAATTACCCCGGTGGCGTCATCGTGTTTTCATCAGTGCTATTTCAGCCTGGGCTTGCTCTTCTTATTACAGAAACACAATGTTACAAAGCAAAGAACATGCACGATAAATAACAGGGCCATTTAACACCTAATGCTCGAATTGAACTCCTTTTTTTGTACAGCTCTGTTTGATGATTGTTTTAAATGCATGAGATCGAACCCCTTCATTTGACATATCTTGGACACAATCCCACATTCATTTACCAGCTGTTACAGACCTCTTCCAAATAATTTATATTCACCTGTTTAGGACTGTTTAGGATGACCTGAATACAAAAGAAGAATATAAAACGTAAAAACAAAGAAGAACCAAGCTGTTCTCCCCCACAAAAAAAATATGGAAGTTGAAA